GCGGAGGGGGGGGTGTAGAGGGGTGTCCCGCGGGGGGGGGGTCTGAGTCAGAATACCATCCTCCCCCGAGGGGTCCTGGGGCCCAACATGGCCACACGACAGCCCAAGACGATCCAAGAGGGCCCCGAGTCGCCGAACGACTGGTCCAAGACGCCAAAGATGCCCCAACAAGCGAAACCACAGATTTTCTTTCGGATTTTGAAAGATACTGGGGTGCTCGCCTTTTCGGCTGCCCGACACCCCAACACGGCCCAAGATACCACCAAGATCGGCACAAGAGGCCCCCAAGAGGTTTCCAAGACGGCCCCAAAACGCAACGATCCTAGAGGCCTCCCAGACGGCCTCAGAGGCCCCCAACAGCTCCAAGAGGGAGCCCACACAGGAGCCCGAACGAACATTTTGAGCCCTCGGCCCTGAAGAGCTCCCAGGAGGCCCCAAGAGGGCCCCAAACGGCCCCCACGAGGCCCCAAGAGGCCCCCAAAAGGCCCCCCCCCCCTAGGAAGCCCCCTAGGAAGCCCCCGAGGCCCCACGAAGCATCCCTGAGGACTGTGCCCCACGTCAGCGTCGTCGTCGCCGCCGCCGACGCCGCCGTCGTCGTCGTTGTTCCCCTTCAGGGTCGGCGACACCGGCCGCAATGCCTTCCCAATATGTACGTGATACTCGCGCCCCCGAGGCTATGATCCCTTGCAAATCACTGGATATTCGCGTCCCCGAGGCCACGATCTCTCGCAACTTACGCTAGATTCGCGTCTCAGAGGCCATCCTCCCTCGCAAATTACGCAACATTCGCGTCCACGAGGCCACGATCGCTTTCAAATTATGCTGCATTCGCGTCCCCGCGGCCACGATCCCTTGGAACTTACTATATATCCGGGTCCCTGAGGCCACGATGGCGAATAAATTTCACTGACACCATATTCGCGTGCCCGAGGCAACGATCCTGCGTAGATTACACAACAATCGGGTACCCGAGGCCGCGAGCCCTGGTAAAGTACAGAATCTGCGCGTCCCCGAGGCCACGATCTGTATTAAATTACGCCTTATTCGCGTGCCCGAGGCCACGATCGCTCATACATTGCGCTTCGCGTTCCCCAGGCCACTACACCTCACAAATTACCCAAATTTCACGTTTCCGAGGCCACGGGCCCTCGCAAATTTCGCCATGCTCGCGCCCCTGAGGCCACGATCCGTTGCAAATTACGTCGCCTTCGCGCCCCCGGAGGCCACGATCCCTCGCAAACTGCGAAGTGCTCACATCCCCGAGCCCACAGTCCCTCACAAACTACCCCACGTCTGCGCCCCCGAAGCCACGAGTCCTCGCAGCCCCAGGGGGTCCAGGCGGCCTCCCCAGGCGGCCCTGGGCGGCCTCCCGGGGCGGCCCCAGGCGGCTGCCCCAGGCGGCCCCAGGGAAACCTTTCCGGGCGGCCCAGGAGACTTCCCCAGGCGGCCCCAGGAGGCCACCCCAAGCGGCACCAGGAGGCATCCCTGGGCGGCACCAAAAGGCCTCCCCGGGCGGCCAGCCCAGGCGACCTCGGGAGGATCCGCTGGAACCTCTTCGGTAGAAGTCCGGGAGTTTGCTCGGTGGAAGTCCAGGAGTTTGTCCTGTGGGAGGTCCAGGGGTTTGTCGGTAGAAATCCAAAAGTTTGTTTGGGAGTTCGTAGGTTTGCTCTACTTTCGGTTCCAAGCTGCTGCTGAAATATCCTCACCCTCCTGGCTCAACTGCCAACGGAATGTCCTCACCGCCATGGCTTCAAGCTGCCAGCGAAGTCTATTCACCCCCTGACTGACTTATCACCGCCCGTGAAATGTCGGCAAAGGCCCTGGCTTAAAAGTGCCAGCGGCATATCCTCACCCCCCTGGCTCAAAACTGCCAGCGACATATCCTCACCCCTTTGCTTACAATTGCCAGCGAAACATCTTCACTCCCCTGGCTTGAACTGGCAGCAAAATGACCTCATCCCCTGGCTTAAAACTGCCAGCGAAATGTCATCGCCACCCCCAACTTGAAACTGCCAGCAAAATATCCTCCCCCCTGGCACTTGTGGGGCCATCAGGCTGCACATATTCTGCGTGCGTTGACGATTGTCGCTCCATCCCATCTCATCGCTTGCGATCACGATTATCAGCAGGTTCGTAATACGAACCTGCAGAATCCGAGCAATGTTTTCCAGGCTCGCAGTGCAAGCCGTAACGTACGAAATTGGCCCTCACATGAAGTTCCGACATTGCTTCACGACGGCCCCCAGGCATCCCAACATAGCTCTGGCATACCCAATTCGAAGAGAAAGTGGGCCGGCGGCAGAGGGCGAAGCCCTTACGGGTACACTAGCTAACTCAACGAGGTGTCCAGTGAAATCCCCGTTTTTGCTTAGGGCCGACCCTGACCTAGGTAACTGTCGCACAAGTTCAACTTTCGGGTCATGACATGCGAGGACGTCTCAGGCGAGAGCATCGTTTAGAAGAGAAACTGCCCTCCGCCCGTAGAGGTGCTACATGTGTT